CACAAACATGGAGAGTGGCTCCTGAATCAAACCAACACAGTTTAGGATTTCCCACCAAGTTACATTCAGAAAGCATGGCACACAAGTTATCAACATCATCATGGTTTACTACCATGTTTGCTTGACCCCTTTTCTTGTCTTTCTTCGGAGCACGACACTCCGTAGATTTGTGTCCGGTTTTCCCACAGTTGTAGCAGTTTCCACTGAACCGCTTCTTGCTTGGGTTGTATTTCGGACCAGAAGCCTTCTTCCTCTTTTTGTTAGCTTCAACAATATTTGCTCCCATTATTGTTGAATTTCCACGGCCTCTCCTTTCAGCAGCTTTATTGTCCTCTTCGATTCTCAACCGAACAATGAGATCTTCAAGGGACATTTCCTTTCGTTTGTGTTTCAAATAATTTTTGAAGTCCTTCCACAACGGAGGCAACTTCTCAATCATTGCTGCTACTTGGAATGCTTCGTTGATGACAAGACCTTCAGCAAGTAGATCATGAATAATCACTTGCAATTCCTGGACTTGGGTAATAACAGACTTGCTATCTACCATTTTGTAGTCCAAAAATTTTGCGGCAACGAATTTCTTCATCCCGGCATCTTCAGTTTTATATTTCTTTTCAAGCGCATTCCACAATTCTTTTGACGTCTCCACGCTACTGTATACATTATACAGATTATCATCCAGTCCGCTAAGAATATAATTCTTGCATAAAAAATCAGAATGCTTCCACGCTTCAATCACGAGAAAGCGTTCATTCTCTGGAGTTTTATCTGGCAGATCAGGAACATCTTCCTTGATGAACTTCTGTAGACATAACGTAGTTAAGTAGAAGAACATCTTTTGGTGCCAGCGCTTGAAATCAATCCCGGAAAATTTTCTGGGTTTTTCTGCCGGTGCCAACGTCGGTGTTCGGCTTGTCGATGCGTTGGCAGTCACCGTCGGAACAGCTTGGTTTCCGCTTTCAGTCGTCATTTTTCCTGTCAAAGAATGACACAAACAAACGTTTAATAAACGTTTTCAAACTGGAGTAAAAATCACGTAGATTTTAATCTCCAACAAAACGCCACGAAGGGTTTACTCTCCAAAACGGGAGTACACAAAACCACAAAGATTTTAGTTTGCAGAATAATAAGAATAACACAAATATAGAAATAAATATTTAAATTCCTTAAGATTGTTGTTCCCGCCAATATTGCTGTATTTGTAAATAATAATTCTGCAAAATATAAGTTATCGTAATGAAACAGTAATTAATTCGAGCCCACTGAATTCACAGTGTTTTCTTAAGGAATTTAATCCTCTCCTAGCACCCAAGGTAATGGATTATTTCCTCCCAGGATAGAACGAATCACACACCGGTGTAGCGGTACTTCAAACCCCAGTGTTTCAGCGAACACAAAGTTCGGTAGAAAATCACACTTACAGTTGCTTTGTCTGAAGTTAAAACAATGCAGAACGAAGGAGTAGAAATTCAGAGGAAATGCTAAGAGGAAGGAGTGCAATGTATAGCCAAAGTTGAGCGTTGGAAAAAGTGCAATCCTCAATGGTGGAGCATGCAGGGAAGCACTTGAAAAATATCCGTTAAAAATGCGGATAATCTTACGTTAATATTTACTATTAACAAATAAATTTGGTCCAAAAAATTAATCAATCAATTGATTTTCTTCTTAAGGAATCGGAAGCTCCGAAGCTCCGAAGCTGCGAAGCCGAGCGACGACGACGGCGCGAGGCTTGCTTTCTTCTTAACTCTTTAAGAGCTACAAGAAGAGCAATTATATATATACCCACCAAAAATCTTTTCCTCTTCCAATATGGGACAATGTCTCATTGTCAAGAGTGGAAAACTTAAAATTTTACTCAAAAATTTTATTTTCCCTCCATTTCCCATTCACCCTCACTATTTCATCTTAAAAAAAAAAAACTCAACAGTGACTCTGGAAATCGCACGTGGTACATCATGTGCAATCTGACAAGCAACAAGTTCTAACACTAATGCCATAAGATTTCTGACTCGTCTAAATTTTACTCCATTACAATAATATAAGTAGTTAATCCTATAATCTGCAATAAAAACATAGTCTTGAGACGGAAGGACAAAGAAAATTTTGGTTTTCATTTGATAATGGTGAAGAAATCATGGGTTTGTACACTTGTCACTCAAGTTTCTCTATGTTTATCTCTTTACCTTGTTCTCAACTTGTGTCAAAATCAGAAGCCAATTTTAAGGAATGGAAATGAGAATATTCCTATGGATATATATTTCATCAGTGTTACAGGAGGTGTTAGGCCTTTTGAAGAACAGACCCTTCTTCTCAAGCAGGTCAGTTTCTCAATTAATCTGGAATTTTTTTTCTTTTGTTATTTGTCAAAAGGAATGATTTTTCTTTGAATTTTCCTTGTTGGGACATGGTTTTTTAAGCTGAATTTTGGTTTGGTGAAGATTGCCAGTTACTTCACTCTGTAGTAGAAGAATTTAGCAACTCTGATTTCTATCCTTTTTGCATTATTTTGTTGAGCCAGTGGCGAAGGCAGTAACTTTCTCAAGGGTATTCAAACTTGAAAGAAGTCGAAAATTCTCCGACAACGAGTGTTTAATATATGCTATATATCTTAAACCTAATATTTTACCTATATGCGCAGTATAACTTTCCGACGAAGGCCCTTTAAGACATGTAGCTTCGCCCCTATGCTGAGGTAGAATAATTCAGAATTTCGTATATATCATTTGGAGGTGCACTCATACACGATTAGACAAGATTCGAATTGATCAATGAGAGACGATTGCTTGATATGGTTTAGTCATGTCATGCGTTGGCCTACAGATACACCATAGGTGTGAAACCATTGTGAGCAAGGATTTAAAAGGGGACGAGGTAGACCATATAGAAAGAGGTTGTTTAGACCTTTAATCTCTTTGAATCCATGCAGACTTAGCAAAGAATAGGCACAATGGAAGAAAAATATTTATATATGCAATATCAATTAGTTGGGAGCATATTTTAGTCATGTTAGTACGTTTATATTAGGTACTATGTCAGTAGAAAATATAGAGAATTTCTAGTACTTTTTATTTTTATTTTGTATAGTATTCGTACGAAATGAGCTTAAATGATTGTTCTTTTGACGAAGACTGACTTCATTTCTTTTGCTGTGATGTTAAAGTGAAATATGTGTTATCGGAGTCATCTCTTTTGTATCATGTTCATTTTTTGGCTGATCCATTTTTGCTGGAATCTTATATTGAATGAAGGTGCAGAAGGTAGCAAAGAAGTTCAATGCAAGATTTGTTATCAACGTAAGCGAACTTGGGGAAGATGACCCACTCGTGCAAAATGTAAGCCCTCCAATGACTTCATAAGTGCAGAATTCAGTGGTAGAGGAATTTGATTGCAGCGATGCTAGTCTAGGATCTAACATGCAGCTACTGAACGGATCGTGTCAAAATTAGATAATTTACTTAGATTTCTTTATCACCTACTTAGTGACCATTGTTTGGATTTAATTCATATTTTTCACGATACTTTCTGCTTGGCAGGCTACTCGGCATTTTCCTTCTACGAAGATTCCATGGTATGATCCTCTATGAATAAACAGTTTGTTCTCCAGGGCTAACATTTTATCTTTTAGATCTGTGTTTCATCATTTGAATTGGATTGTCTTTGCGGTTTTACTTCAGCCATCCTCAACTTGTAGGTACTCTACGCGAGGTCTCAAAGGACGAGGGGTGAAACACTACCTTGAGCAATTCAAGTTTGCTCATGGAAGCTTAGATATTATAGTTGTGGATACAGGATTATATGAGGTAAAGTGGTAAACACTTGTTTCTTTTATCTGTTTAAATTGGCCTTTTGCGCACGTTTCCAGATGGTGTCAATTCCAAGTATGAATTTACTTCAAAGCTCTACTAGCTTTTCATCGTTATCCGCCTTCCCCCTTCCCTTCCCTCCTCTTTCTTTTGGAGGTGGTGGGGATTCGGGATTATGTTTCAAGAGGAAGTCTTGAGGCTTGCCTCAGATAGGGAAGTAGAACTCATATTGGAGGCAGCATGTGAATTGGATTACCCAAAGGAAAAAACATATTTGTGCCCAGAGTCATCTTCTCATTCCCTTTGGTTTGGGTCTGTGCCATTCGTTACTACTAAAAACTCGGGATTTTCCCTATTTTTTGTAGTGTGAATGGTTTTTACTTTTGATATGTCTATAGCAATTTGCTTATGCTTTCCTGAGCCGGAGGTTTATTGGAAACAACCTCTTTATCCTCACAAGGTAGGGGTAAGGTCTGCGTATACATTACCCTCCCCAGACCCCACGGTGTGGGATAAGACTGGGTATGTTGTTGTTGTTGTTGTTGTTGTAGTGTGAAAATTTAGAAAGTTTGTTCCAAAGGCCCTTAGTTACATCAATATAATTACATAACGTCTGAATGATAGTTAATATCTAGCTTCTTTGCCTCTAATCTATCCGACCAGTATAAGGTTATTATATAGTAATACCTTTGAAAGCTGTTGGGAGGTTCAACACCAGAAGTCAGATAACTTGTCAAATTTCAGCTTGTGTTGGATTGATAGTCTTTTAAGTGTGTTCCTATGCCTATTGTGGTAGTAGGCAGAGTTCTTTAAGAACTTTCAACTGTCATCCTTGACATTATTTGTCTTTTATTTTCCCATTTGACATGATACATACAACGAAGGGTACAGTGGCGGACCCGGGATTTTGTGCAAGCGGGTTCAATCTTATAAGTATATAAATTTAGTCTTAAAATAGTAGTTGTCAAGTGGGTTCAAATAAAATATTTAAACAAAATTTACACAGTTTTAATCCTAATTTATACATATACACAGTATTATTTTTTTGTGAAGCCGCTTGGGTCCGCCACTGGAAGGGTACCCTCATATTTACATTTAGAAGAATGAAGACATTTGTAAGCATCTATACTTTTAATGAGTGTGAAATTGCTTATGGCCTAGAGCCCGTTTGGATTGGCTTATTTTAAGTGCTTTTAAGCCAAAATAATTTTTAAGTCATTTTGTAGTGTTTTGATAGAGTAAAAAAGTGTTTTTAAGCCCTTGTTTTTAAGCTAAAATGACAAAAACAAGCCAAAAGCTAGAATTCCTAACTTATGGCTTAAAAGCTATTTTGGCTTAAAAGTCACTTAAAATAAGCTCATCCAAACAGACTCCTATTTATGTCTTAGCTATCTCATTGCTGGATTCTGTTTTCAGCCTCTCCACCAACTGATTTCCTATCGTGCTTCGTTTCTTTCTGTGGATATTGGAAGTTGGTTTCTGAGAAAATCAAATATGGATCTTTTACAAAACTGCTATTGTCATGCCTACATTTGACAAGGCTTGGAAGTTGGTTTCAGCCCTTTGCTCAGAGCTTTTACAGTAAACTTTTAACTTTCTTGTTCTTGTTTCTAGGATGCTTCAAATGGCGCTGGAGATAGGCAATCAGAATGGCTGATCGACACACTTAAAAATAGTGAAAGCAAATGGTACCTTCAAACTGCATTGTTTTACTCCATAGACAAAATATGCTATCGCATTGCCTCAGCAGTTGTGGCCTGACCTCCCTATGTGACTAAAGTGATACCGTGTAAATGTAGGTGCATTGCTGTCGGACTTCATCCATTGGTAGCCTGTGAAGACGATGCTACTCAAACAGAGCTAAAACACGAATTACAGTCTTTACATGGCGTATTTCTGAAGTACGGCGTAGTAAGTCAAGATTCTAACTTTTTAGAGCAAGAAACCTAAGGAATACTGTAATACCAGATACCATGTTCATCTGCAAAATCTGTTTTTCTATATGCATAAAATATAATAACAAAGGGAAGACTCTAAACTCGAATATCCATGTGCCCGCAAAACATATGCTAAGCGCCCAAATCAGATATATTCTTGACACGGCTTTGCCTTAATGCTAAAACTGTGGTAAATGCATTTATCGTCACTGATATATAAATAAAGATGCCAATTAGTAGTGATTGAGTTCCTTCCGTGATTTCACATATGAAACCGGTACGAGTATAACCTACATACTTTGCACTTTCTTGTTTAGGATGCATATATAAGTGGACAGGCTTGTGATGAAAATGTTGAGAAAAGACTTATTGCAAAATCCAAAACTGGAACTGTCAGATATAGAGGACCTTTGCTTACTAAAGTGAATCAGAACTTGCCCTACTCTATGTGAGTATTTTTCTTGGTACTCAATAGATTCTTGAGACTCAAATGTACACTTTCCACTGCCATTACATAACCTTTTCTTTTCATTTTGGGTTTTTCTTAGGCAAAATGTAAATGGATTCCTCCTTCACAAAGTCAGTGCTCTAGAGATTGTAAGTACATTGAATCTGGTTCAGTATTTTATACAAACATCTTATATTATGTTTTTGATGTTTTAACAATTAGTATTTCTAGCAGGTATCCTACTTAGTCACATTGGAAGGTGATGTTGCGCAGAAAATTTTTCTCCATCAAAGAGGCAAAGAGATTATGTAGATATACCGCAAACGTTGATGTTTGTATCTGTTATTGTTGTGAGAAGGAATGAATAGAGATCCAATCAGTTATTGGTGATGAATCCGACTTTTCCCCCCTTTTTCGGAGTAACGGAAGAAAGAGAAGGGACGGAAAAAATGTAAATTCAACATTCGTGCTCAAGTTCGAATTAACTGAATATTCACCATTTTGTGTCCACAGTTGGGAGGTTCAATAAAAGGCAAAAGTTTTGGTATAGGGTGTGTTTTAGTTGGTCAGTTTGCTTTCACCCTTTTTGGTTTGCCTTTGTTGAAATTAGCTTTTTTTTGCAATTATATATTGTCAAATCTTTAAGGTGTTCTGCTGATGTTCATTTTGAATGTAACTTGATCCTTTCCTATTTTCCCTTGAGAAGTTAATGCAGCCCTTTCAGTTGACTAGCCTTAAAAAAAACAATATTTTATAACGGTTTAAAATACACTAAAAGGTCGTTTTGTTAGGAAATAAGTTATCCCATAATTAGTTATTCTTATATTCTCTATGGGAGGATGAGATAACAATCCCTAGATAACTAATCATGGGATTAAAAAATAACATTGCAATCCTCGGTTAACTAATTTCGGATTAGTTATACCACGATTTTATCGCAACCAAACGTGGGATAAACTCATCTCAAATTTAATTTCAGGATTAATTATCCCTCGAGCCCTAATAGTATAAGAAATGTTTTATATTGTTATTGTATATAGCTTAAATCTTCTGTACATATACTTCTCCTGCTGAAAAAGAATGTGGTTGTGCTTGGGAAAAAGGGCCAAAGATACCTCTCTACTTTCATATATTGTTTATATTTAACCTCCGTTATACTATCATGCTAAATTTACCCCTACCGTTATACTATCTGGCCAAATTTACTCTTACAATCAGCAAACTTTTAAAAATACCCCTTGGTCTGTTAAGTAATCCAAAATCTCCCAAATTACTTTTATTTAAATCACTTGTGTTCTTCTTGGTCCACTATTTTTGAAATAATTGGCATTTACCTTCTTTCTGAATTAGAGGGAAAAAAAAGAGAAAAAATATTAAATAATACAACCGAATAAACAAAGTATAGTAAATTGAAAAATCTAAACTAGGTAGCTTTTCTAAATTCTAAAAGTATTTACAACATCCCAATTTTAATGAATTCGTTGCACCAAATGTATGGAGACTTTGTAAGTATTAATGACTGGAGTTGAAGTTCCTCGGAAACTTTATATTATCTAATTCAACTCTGCTTTAATTAAATGCCCAAGCAATGTGCACTCTTAAGTTAGTCGATCGAACTCTATACCAACCAGACAATGACAAAATATATTTGGATATACATGCACATACATGATGATCAACTGCATATAATACACAATAAATAGACCCACTAAATTCTACGGTGTGTGTATATGATTGAAAAATAAATAAAATTCTAAACCAATTTTATTTATTACAAGAAGAGAAATGGGTACATTGGTAATTAAAAAATTATGAATAATTATATAATCTAGTAACTTTAGCATTCACATCAATAGTAATTTTTGAAAATAATGAAGCAAGAAGAACAACAAGTGATTTAAATAAAAAGAATTTGGTAGATTTTGGATTACTTAACAAATAAAGGAGTATTTTTAAAAGTTTGCTGATTGTAGGGGTAAATTTGGCCCGATAATATAACGGAGGTTAAATGTAGACAATATACGAAAGTAGAGGGTATATTTGGCCCTTTTCCCTGTTTAGAAAGAGGAAGTGAAATAGTTTTTCTACCATGTTTATAAAGTATTTTTAAGTACAATAAATTGTTACTTTAAAAAGAAAAAAATGTGGATTTTGATATTAGAAGTTTAAGAAGTTGATGCTCAAATTTCCACCAAAAACAATTCAGCTTTTCCCTCTCTTTCAAATATACATATACAGACTGATTTCTCATACACTAACAGTTTTAATAAAAGAAAATGTTCATAAAAAATATTACTATGTTATTTTTACGGAGCTTATATGTTATTTTTAACCTTTTCTTTGGTTGGTTTTATCCATCTGATGTCCGGTACTCGTATTGGAGTCTGACTATGTCCGAATAAGCACAGCGTAAAGCCCATTTACGGAGGAAACGCTCCCTAATAGGTAGGATTTTATAATATTCATGGCTCGAATAAGGGTGGACGGATCCTATCCATCCCACCGCAACACATTTCTAATCTATTTCTATAAGAAAAAAGTCATATTATAACTAAAATAACACTTAAAATAAGTTGCACAAAACTAGATAATTGAAATGACATTTATATTGGGTTATACAATACGAGTTCTCCTATGCTGATAAAAGAATTCATTATATATAATTTGCCTGCACCTATACCAACACTATATTTAAATACCATAAGTGACATAACTTAGTATTTCAAATTAATTAACTCATGATAAGAAAGATTTCCGCCGAGCCAAATTGGATTAATTATCTAATGTTTTCCTACTTATTTAGACCAAAATACCCTTCCATTCGATATGTACGAGGCTAAACTATCCCAATAGCAAGCAGTAAATAAGCACTCAGCAGAGGGTAAAAGTAAAACTATTGCTGATTTACAAGACTGATTTCGACTGTTTGTTCTGAGGCTGTGACCTGTGAGTGATGATATTTTCAGATCCGAGCCTCAATTTTACTTTTAATTGCTTGTATTTTATTGTTATTTTAAAAGGGTGTCTTTGATATATAATTGAAAATATTTTTATGGTGAAATTTTTATTTGGTTACTAATGTATCCCTCTAAGAAGAAGAAAGTTGGGAACCTTTTAGGTGAGAAACAAGAATTTTCCTGGGAAAAAAAATTCAGCCTAGATAGAGAAATGAGGTTAATATCTCTGTTTGTGCTAATGATTTTCTGTAGCTACTAAACCAACAGCCCTTGTTCATGAATTACTCATAAGCAGAAGCTATGAACTATAGACTCACTCTCTCTGTGTGTGTATGTGTGGAGACTTTTTAGCTGAAAGGCATGTGTAAATCTTGATTTAAGAAACTCGCGCGCGTGTGTGTGGAGACTTTTTAGCTGAAAGGCTTGTGTAAGTTTTGATTTATGAAACTAGTGTGTATGTGTGTAGAATTTTTAGCTGAAAGGCCTGAATAAGTCTTGATTTGTGAAACTAGTGTGTGTATGTGTGTAGAATTTTTAGCTGAAAGGCGTGAGTAAGTCTTGATTTATGAAACTAGTGTTTGTGTTTGTTTTTTCCTGATTTTGAGTAATTTTGCAAAAGAAGCAGTTATGATCATGAGGCTTTCATGATGATTTTTTAGAGAAAATGGAATTGGGTATTATAGTTACAGGCTTGTATGTTGGCAGAGAAAACTAAATATCTGTAAAAAAATGGCATAAAAATTGGATCCTTTTACATACCCGTACTGTTTTTGTTGCTGCTGCATCTTCTGTTTCTCTTCTTGTTGCTATTGTGCTGTTTTTTGAACCAAACAGCAAGAAATCACTGTAAACAATGGCATAAAAATACAGTGTATGCATTAAAAAATGGATCTATTTTATATGAAACAGGATGAATTATGGTGGCTGTGAAGATAAAGCTTCTCTTGAGCAATTTGAGTTAGGCATTGAGATGATAAGAGCTGTATCTTGGCGGGGTAGCCCGAAGAGGTTGCAGCCATGGCAGTTTCTGATAAAACCCAATGCTTAAAAAAGGGCAGCCCGGTGCACTAAGCTCTCGTTATGCGCGGGGCCGGACCACAAGGGTCTATTGTACGCAGCTTTACCTTGCATTTCTACAAGAGGCTACAAGAGGCTGTTTCCACGGCTTGAACCCGTGACCTCCTGGTCACATGACAGTGACAACAACTTATTAGTTATACCAAGGCTCCCCTTCAAATAAACCCAATGCCTAATTAAATTTAAATCTGAGCCTCATTATGTACATGATGCGACATAGGGAAATTACATATATTACCCCCAAACTTGTCCCGAAAAGTCATTTACATACTTAACTTGAAAAAGCTCAAAATTGTCCCTTATCGAGACGGTGATGATCTTACAATCTATCATCCTTAGCTAGTCATTGAGCATAGAGAGTACCGACCCATTTCTTGGCGGGGCAATGGCACATATGCTTGTAATTTTATTGCATGCAACTCGGGTATTTGCAGCCATGGCGGGGTTGGACTTTCTTTACCTAAGCATAAATACAGATCTGAGCCTCAGTTCTCATCCCATAATCTTACTTTTGGTGTACTTGATGTGGAGGAAACTGTTTCAGTCAATCCAAGGCTGCTGGATTCAGAGAGTTTTGGGGAGTTCTTTGAGTGGTTGCCCCTCTCTGGCATTCTCAGCAGCCAATGATCACTCAAAATTTCCCGTTTGTCAAACCACTCTTTAGCGAGAATAAGTTCAAATGGGGCATTGAAGATTTTCATTCTTTACTCATCAGATGGTTGAGCTTTGCCGTATCTTGGCGTGGTAGCTTAAGGCTTCTTAAGCTTGCAGCCATGACGAGGTTTAGCTTATGCTTGAGAGAAGGCGAATCTGAGCCTCCAGTGACTTCTCATATGGAAAAAAAAAGAATCAAACAGCCCTTTAAATGTTTTGGTGCTTTAAAAGACTTTGAGACGAGCAATAAGCAGACACAAAAGTTCAGAGAGAAGAGAGGAGGCTTGCAGAGAGGAGGGATTTTTACAAGGGTGGTTGCCCCTCTCTGCAACTCCAGTGACCTCCTAGAAAAAAGAATCAAATAGCCCTATGAATCTCAAACAACCATTGCTTCCAACTGCAAAGTAAAGAGAAACTCTAGCATTCAAATTGAAGCAAATAGAGAAACTCCAAAGATGACACAAAAGGGAATTCACTTCCAAGAGGAAATAATTACGGGCATCCTCAGCAGGTTACCTGCGTGGTCTCTTCTTCGATTCAAACGTGTTTCAAAATTTTGGAATACATTGATCTCTGATCCTTACTTTAAGATAAAGCATCAGAATGACCAAAATCCCCAAAAAATTCTTGTTAGCCAAAGGTGCCTTGATAAGGTGATATGTATAACTTCCATTGTTATTCTTTATCGTCGATTGATGTACAAAACTTTGATTGTCCTTTAAACTATAAACCAAGGCGTTACGTAATGTTATGTTGTTCTGATGGCTTGTCTCTTAAAAGAAAAATTTCAAGGAAAAATAATTCACACCATCTGAATTTTGACTCAAATGGTCCTTTATGTTAAGGAGTTAAACTAAACTCATGTCTACAACTCCTCACAAAGAAGAGAGAAATAGAGAGAGTTCTGAGGCTGAGATGATACTTTCTTCTCTTCTTGGGGCAAGAGAAATAAAGGGACCCATATCTTGGCGGGGCAACCCGGATGGCTACCGGTGTTTGCAGCCATGGCGATGTCTTCATTCTCTCGTCTTATCAACAAATCTGAACCTCAATTTTACTCTTATAGCTTGTTTGGATGGTTGTTACCTATTGTATTGTTATTTAAAAGGGTGTCTTTGGTATGATGGAAAATATTTTTCCTGATGAAATCAGTGTTTGGTTACTAATATATTCATTTGAGAAAAGATAAGTTGGGAAATTTTCCTTATAGTCTTCCCAGAAAGAGAAATGAGGTTAATAGAGGGAAGGATTTTCTTGTAACAGTGGTTGCCCCTTTCTTTTGTGCCAGTGATTTTTTTAGCTGCTAAACCAAAGCCCTTGTTCATGAAATACACAGAAACAACAGCTATGATCATTGAAGCATATGCATGGATTTTCTTCAATCTACTGCTTCAATCATAGATCTCAGTCTGTGTTTTCGGGGAATTTGCGCAAACAGCCTTTCGTGAGGCAGTGATGATAATATGCACTGTGTGGGTTAACAGAATCTGGCATCGAGGACAATCCGGCCCGTATCTTTTCCTGGCAAAGACACGGATGGCCTGCAATTGAGGCTCTCTCTTTTGCATGCAACCGGTGTTTTTGCAGCCATGGCGTGGTTCCCTTCACTTTGCCCGATCAAAATGCTAAATTTGAGCCTCAAATTGCTTTAAAAGTCTGACTTTGAGAAGAGCAATAAGCAGACACAAAATCTCAGAGAGGAGTGGGGAGGCTTGCAGAGAGGAGGAGTTCTTCAAAGAGTGGTTGCCCCCCTCTCTGCAACTCTAGTGACTTCTCATATGAAACAAAAATCAAAGAACCCTTTAAGTGGGCGTTTGGACATAAGAATTGTGAAATTCCGGAAAAAAGTGAAGTTTTTTTTCAAGTGAAAATTGTCCTTTATGTTAAGGAGTTGAACCAAGAGCCCGTTGGATTAGCTGAATTTAAGTAGAAAAGCCGATGAGAGAGAATTCAGAGGCTGTGATGATTGTCTTCTCTTCTTTCTCTGAGAAAACCAACGGGGCAAGAGATATTAAGGGACCCGTATCTTGGAGGGGCGACCCGGATGGCAAGTGATCTTTGTGTCATGCAACTGGTGTTTGTAGCCATGGCGATGTGTTCATTCTCTTGTCTTATCAACATATCTGAGCCTTTATTTTACTCTTACTGCTTCTGTCATAGATCTCAGTGTTGCTTCTGGGGAATTTGCACAACTAGCCTTTTTCTGAGGGTGAAGCACACAAATAGCCCTCAAAGTGGATGATCTTCAATTTTTTTCCCCCGCTTGCCCCCATGGGCAGAACTTCAAGTTTAACAAGTGTTGCACCTCACTTACCCCATGGGCAACACTTTTAACTTTTGACCTTGAAGTTCTTCTCATGGGGCAAGCGGGGATCAAAAGTTAAAGACCACCCAAAAAGTGTCATATTTCCGCAATTATTTTGATTTTCTTCTGAGGCAGTGATGATAATAATATTTCACTTATCGGGCATTGAGGACAATCCGACCCGTATCCTGGTTAGGAAAATCCCCGGATGGCCTGCATTTGAGGCTCTCTTTTTTGCATGCAACTGGTGATTTTGCAGCCATGGCGTGGTCGCCTTTCTCTTTGTCCATGCAAAATGCAGATTTGAGCCTCAAATTTCCATGAATTGAACTTGGGCCTTTTGTGCTTTGAAATCCATTAACGTTTGCTCCAGCTTTTAGCTCAAGCTACTGAAAAGAACAATGAGGTATCACATAAGGGTACCTTTTCTTCTCAGGTGCCCATGAATTTAATTCAAACACACTCTGCTTTCTCAGTGAATGTAGCTGATGGATAGACATATACTTGACAAAAATATGAGGCTGTGATGATAATGATAGTCTTTCCCTTCTTTCTCTAAGAAACTCAATCCAGCAAGAAAATAAGGGGACCCGTATCTTTGCGGGGCAACCCGGTTGGCGAGTGATCTCCTCTCATGCAACCGGTGCTTGCAGCCATGGTGCTGTCTTCTTTCTCTTGTCATATTTTCAATTCAACATATCTGAACCTTATTTTTTCTCTTATGGTGTCTTTGCTATGATGGAAAAATGAAAATATTATCATGATGGATCAGTATTTGTTTACCAATTTATCCATACGAGGAGAAAAGTTGGGAAATTTTTAGGTGAAAGCCAAGAATTTTCCAAAAAGAAGTCAGGCCAGAAAGAGAAATGAGATTAAGAGAGAGAAGGGATTTTCTGTTAAGGGTGGTTGCCCCTCTCTGTTGTGCCAATAATTTTCTTTAGCTACTAAACCAACAGCCCTTGTTCATGAAATACTCAGAAACAGAAGCTATGAACCATAGACCTCAGTGTGTGTGGAGACTTTTTAATAAGGCTCGTGTAAGTCTTGATTTTAAGAAACTAGTTTGTGTGTGTATGTTTCTTTTTCTTGATTTTGAGTAATTTTACAAAAGAGGCAGTGATGATAATGTCTCACTTTCTGGGCTAACAGAATCAGGCATTGAGACAATCTGACCCGTATCTTGGCCTGGCAAATCCTCTCTTGTGCATTCAACTGGTGATTTTGCAGCTATGGCGTGGTTGCCTTCTCTTTGCCAGATCAAAGTGCAGATCTGAGCCTTAAATTTCTGGGCATTGAAACTGGGTACTCTTGTTCTTTGGAATCTATTAATTTTAGCCCAAATTTAGCCCAGAAAGGACGAGTGAGACATCAGAGAGATAGGATTTTCTGTAAAGGGTGGTTGCCACTCTCTGCTATGTCCATGATTTCTCCATTCATGAAACCAACAGCCCTTTGAGGAAAAAAAGCGAAAAACAAACCATCCAAACAACATCTGTTGAGTATCTGCCCCCGTGAAAGGGACTATACTCTTCCATTCTCTGCTTTTGCTTCTGCTGCTACAACAGCTGATTTAAACAAATAGCCACTTTTATTACCTTGTATTTTGAAGGCCATAACTGATGTTGATCTTCGCAGATCACCTGAAATGGGCTGTGATGATGAGTGCTTCTTTCTGGGTTATCCACTTTACTGCGTTGAGAAAATCCGATCCATATCTTGGCGGCCCGACCCGGTATGACATCCATTTGCAAACCGGTGTCTTGCAACCATGGTGTGAGTCTCTTTCTCTTTGCAGTTTCATATACAGCAAAATCTGAGCCCTAAAGTCTATGACAACCGTTTGATAGTCTTCTTAAGCTTGCAGCCATGTCATGGTTTAGCTTATGTTAAGGTGAATCTGAGACTCCCAGGTATCTGTTTGTGTTCAAAGAATGAGGCTTTTTATGGAAATCGAGAAAGGTTGAGATTTTCTAAGGGTGGTTATTCTCTTTGTCCGAAGTTCTATTTAGCCAATGAATATTTCTTTACCTTTGTTAGAAAGAGAAAAATTTACAGCCCTTTCGTCAGCAAACTGCCAATTATGGGAATGACGAGGCTAAACTATTGCAATATCAAGCAGTAAATAAGTTTTCACCAGAGGGCAAAATTAGAAATATTGCTACTTTAAAGGAGTGACTTTGAGACAGAATAAGCGGTCACAAAACCTCAGAGAAAAGAGAGGAGACTTGGAGAGAGGAGTTCTTCGAGGATTGTTGCCCTTCTCTGCATTTCCAGTAGCTGCTGTCATATGAAAAAAAAAAATCAACCAGCCCCTTGAATCTCAGGGAAATTGTACACAAATTTAACCACTCGGCCAATGATACTGTGGTTCTTGTTTTAAGGTTTTTTGACTCAAAATGGTCATTAAGTTTTGGAGTTGTACTAAATTCGTCTCTGCAACTCCTCACCAAAAAAGAAAAAGAAACTGAGGCGGTGATGATACTTACTTCTCTTCTTTATCTGAGTAAATCAATGAGCAAGAGAAATACAGGGTCCCGTATCTTGGCAGTGCAACCCGGATGGCGAGTATTCTCTTGTCTTATAGACAGATCTGAGCCTCACTCTTAATAGCTTGTTTGGATGGTTGTTACCCATTGTATTATATTGTTTTTAAAGAGGTCTCTTTGGTATGAAGGAAAATGTTTCTCTATGATGAAATCAGTGTTTAGTTACTGATATGTACCTTTGAGAAGAAGAAAGTTGGGAAATATCAGGTTAAAAAAGAGGCAGTGATGACTGATGATAATAATGTTTCAGTATCTGGGCTGACAAAATCAGGCATTGAGACAATCTGACCTGTATCTTGGCCTGACAAATCCCCTCTTGTGCATGCAACTGGTAATTTTGTAGCCATGGCGTGGTTCCCTTCACTTTTCCCGATCAAAATGCAAAATCTGAGCCTCAAATTTATGTAGCACTAGACCAAAACACCCTTCTATTTTAAGCTAAGCAGTAAATAAGTATTCATCAGAGGGAAAAAGTAGAAGGGTTGGTGCTCTAGAAGACTTAGCTTTGCCACATGCAGATGATAGATAAAGAAGAATGAGGCTTGCAGAGAGGAGGAGTCTACAAGGGTGATTGCCCCCTCTCCAAGTCCAGTGACTTCTCATATGGAAAAAAAGAAAATATCAAACAGCTTTTTAAATCTCAGGGAAATTGCATTAACACCCTGTTGAAATTTTTGTCCTAACATTAACCACTCAGCCATTGGTACACTGGTTCTTGTTGTAAGGTTTTGACTCAAATGGTCCTTATGTTTAGTTTTACTAAATTCATCTCTTCAACTCCTCCCCCCCCCAAAAAAAAAAGGGGGGGAAAGAAAAAAAAGAAACTGAGGCTGTGATGATGCTTTCTTCTTTTCTGCGCAAAACAATGGGAAAGAGAAATAAACGGACCCATATCTTGGCGGGGCAACTCGGATGCTAGTGATTTTATGTCATGCAATCGGTTTGCAGTCATGCGATGACGTTATTTTCTTGTTTTATCAATAGATCTGAGCCTCAATTTTACTGTTTGTCTTTGGTATGTTGGAAATATTTATCATGATGAAATCAGTATTTGGTTACCGATGTATCCATATGAGAAAAGAAAAGTTGGGAAATTTTCAGGATGGAACCAAGAATTTTCCAAAAAAAAATTCAGCCGAGAAAGTGAAATGAGGTTAAGAGAGAGTAGGGATTTTCCGTCAAGGGTGGCTGCCCCTCTCTGTTGTGCCAATGATTTTCTTTAGCTACTTAACCAACAGCCCTTGTTCATGAAATACAAACAGCTATTCAGTCTGCAGCTTCAGCCATAGATCTGTGTGTGTGTGTGTGTGTGTTTCTGTTTCCTCCTTTTGAGTAATTGTAACAAAGAGGCAGTGATAATAATCTCTCACTTTCAGGGCTAACAAAATCGGGCATTGAGGACAATCTGACCCGTATCTTGGCCTGGCAAATCCCCGGATGGCCTGCATTTGAGGCTCTCTATTAGTCTCTTTTGCATGCAACCGGTGATTTTGCAGCCATGGCCTGTTTGCATTTTCTTTGTTCGGGCAAAATTCAGTATATGAGCCTTAGATTTCTGGGAATCAAACTTGGGACCTCTTGTGCTTTGAAATTCTAACTCTAGCTAAAGATCAAAGTTCAAACAAATGAGGTATCACATAAAGATGGGTACCTTTTCTTCTCAGAGATTTCAATCCAAAAACACTTTGCTATCTCAGTGAATGTGGTTGAAAGATAGATATATAAATAGAAAGTTGTTGCTTTTCCTGCAAACCCAAATCTAAAGGAAAGTGAAAGACATGTTGAACAAGATGTTGGACTTGAATTCAGTGCCTGAAGCCTACTTTAAGTTCACATTGGCTTCTTGTTTAACCTCTCCATTGCTAGAAGGAAATAAAGGTTGCTCTAACTGGTTTTCTTGATTAGAAGTTTGTGTGTTCTTTATATTGTCATTTGCATGAAAGCAGTGTTGTGAAGAGCGTGAAGCAAGGAAAAGCGACAACGAGAAGCGAAGTGCTCGCTTTTTTGAAGTGAAGCGGAATTTAAAAAAAAAAAATTAAAATAAATACTGGGCAGCATAAAACAGTGAAAGAAGAACTGGACAGCATTTCAACGAAGAGGAGAAGATTGAGAAAGAAGAACCGAAGGGAAAAAAAAAATTCGCCAGCATTTCGCTGCTATTTGAACGCTGAAACAGTGGGAGAAGGAGAAGGAGAAGGAGAAGGAGAAATCACATACCTGTTGCTGCTGGTCGTATATTGAAGTTGAAAAGTGTACAAGACTTGGAACCCTAGTCGCCTCTTTCTCTCTGTTGCTGCTGGTTGTACGTTTTAATAAAAGAACACCTTTTTAAATTAAATAGGTTGACAGGTGTTTAAAACTCAGAAGCGCTCGCTTCGGTTGCCTCGCTTCGTTTCAGCGCTTCTCGCTTTTTAGTGGGAAGCGCACGCTTTTGCCTACCTGAGTCGCTTCATATAGCAGAAGCGGTCATAGGGTCGCCTCGCTTCGCTTCTCGCTTCAAGCAAGGAAGCGACCGCTTTTCACAACCCTGCATGAAAGGCCCAGAAAGGTATGCTTGAGAAATTAGCTGGACCTTCCAATGGTAAGATGTAAAATGGAGGTCAAATTCGGGCAGTATTAATATGCATGTATATGTTCTTGCCGTCTTAGGCTGCTTCTTAGCTGCTTACTCCACTACCACCTGTTAACATAGCAATTCTGATGAAAAATATCTTAAGTCAGGCTTGGGATCTAATGAAACTGTATCTTGGCTGGGCAATCCAGAATTGCAGCCATGGCGGTGACTTTGTTCTTTCTCTGAGCAAATGAATAAAAAAAGAAAACAAATGGACGTGTATCTTGGCAGGGCAACCCGGATGGCAAATGATTTTTGTGTCATTCAACCGGTGTTTGCAGCCATGGCGATGTCTTCATTTTCGTCTTATTTTCCTCAAAAGATCCGAGCCTCAAATTCTCTTAGGGTGTCTTTGGTATACAACAACAACAACTGCGCCTCAAGCCTATATTAATCCTCACTCTCCATGTAACTTCATCTAAAGCTCATGCCAGTCTAATACAAAATGTTTGGGACCCTAATGATTGGCAATTTGAACCCTACGTGAATCTAACACGCAACCTTCTGATCTGAAGTCAGACATGCTACATTCACCATGACAAGTCAGCCTAGAGAGAGAATTGAGGCTAATAGAGGGAAGGGATTTTCTTCTAAGAGTGGTTGTCCCTCTCTGTTTGTGCCAATGATTTTCTTTAGCAGCTAAACCAACAGCCCTTGTTCATGAAATACTCGGCCTGATCATGTAAAAGCAATGCATTAATGCTTAATCTTCATATGTTTTCAATCAGCAGCTTCAGCCATAAACTTGCATCTCTGTGTGTGTGTTTTTGGCATGTTTCGTTTTCCTCATTTTGAGTTTAGAGGCTGGGATGTTCAATTTCTAGGCTGACGAAATTGGGCATTGAGACAATCCAATCCGTATTTTTGCTTGGGAAATGGACGGGTGATTTTGCAGCCATGGTTTGGTTGCCTGATCAAAATGCAGATCTGAGCCTCAAATTTCAGGGAATCGAACCCGGGTCCTCTTGTTCTTTGAAATCTGTTAATGTTTGGTCCAAATTTTAGCTCAAGTTTCGGACCAAAAGAATGAGGTGCCAGAGAAGATGGGTACTCTTTCTTCTCTGGTAAGCCCATGATTTCAAAACCAAAAGCACTTTGCTTTCTCATTGACTGTTGTTGATAGATAGATATATGGATAGAAATTTTTCTGATTCCATGTAAAGCCAAATCAATTTATCGACTATGCTCAATCCCTGGGCATAAATGATTGGAAATGCTATAGGAAGGGATTGAACATTCGACCTTGTGGTTAACAGCCACACGCTCTAACCAACTGAGCTACACCATGCAATTTTCTGTTGCCATTGATGTGATGCTGATAGCATTGGTACACCCTATGTTCCAATTTATGTGTCTTGAAACTGTCCAAATTTCTAGGGAAAAGTTTCCATTTTTCCGCGAGGCAGTGATGATATTGCTTAATCTGGGCTGTTATTTGGGGCATGGAGAAAGCCGGACTTGTATCTTGGCGTGGCAAACCAGGATCATTCAATTTGTTCATTTTGCAGCCATGGTGTTGTCGTCTTCTCTTTGCCCCATTTTATACAGATCTGAGCCTCAACTTCCAATGAGTCACTGTGGACTTTCCAGGATCTGAACCCAGAACAGCACCCCGGTGCACGAAGCATCGTGCATTCACGCAGGGTCAGGGGTGTAATGTAGGCAGCCCTTTCCTGTGTGGCTGATTTCACGGCTCGAACCCATGATCTATAGGTCACGCGGAGACAACTTTATTGGTGCTCCACGGCTCCCCTTCGAGTAAAACCCAGAACCTCAGATGAAAATCCAGTTCATTTTAGCTCAAAAGAATGAGGGAATCGGAGAAAAATGGGGAATGTTTCAGGGTGGTTGACCATCTCCGGCATGCCTATGATTTCTTCTTTGCTCAAACAAACAGCTCTTTTTGCATAGGTATATGTGTGTATATGTATTATGTGTCTGTTTCGGTCTCACCACTAATTTAATTATAAATTACAGGTTCTTGCAGTCTACAGCAAAATGGAACTCCAGCCCAGTATGAAGAATGAGGCCAACTGGGAGAAAAAGGAATTTCATGGAGGGTGGTTTCCCTCTCTGCTTGGCCTATGATTTCTCCATCTACCAAAGCAACAACCCTCTTCAGAAGAAGAAAGCAGGCAAGTATTGTTGATAGCAGTGGTACTATTTCTTTTGAGCTTAAGACAATGTTTTTGGTCCAAAACATCCCCCGATCTGAAGGTTCTGTTTGTTTGATGAGGACTTTTGAACTTGTGCTAACGCCTACTAGAACTATGGAAAAGTTCCCATTTTTCGAAAGAGGCAGTGATGATATTGCTAGTCTACTCTGAAATTTGGGGCATGGAGAAAATCTGACCTGTACCTTGGCATGGCAAACCCGGATGGTTTGTGATTGTGGCTTCTCTTTCACATGCAACCGGTTCTTTGCAGGCATGGCGTGATCACCTTCTCTTTGCCCCATTTTATTCATATCTGAGCCTCAATTTCCAAACAGTCCATCTGGATGTTTCAGGACTCGAACTCAGGACCTCTTCGAGTGGAAACCCATGTTATATATATCCGGAGAAACATGGTATATATGTGTTAAAAACAGATCTTTTCTAGATACCCAGATTGTCGTCGTCGTTGTTGTTGCTACTGGAATTTCTTCTGTTTCTCCTGTTCGTGCTGCTATTTGGCTGTTTTATGAACCAAACAGCAAGAAATCAATGTAAGAACAGGGAGAATTTAACGATGTGATGATAATGCTACGCGGCGGCCCTTCGAGAAAAAGAATGAGACATTAGAGAGATGGGATTTTCTGTAAAGGGTGGTTGCCCCTCTCTGCTATGTCCATGCATTCTCCATTCATAAAAAAACAACCCTTTCATGAGAAAAAAGAAAGGAAAAAGATAAGAAAAGGGACTATGGGGGTGTTTGGATTGGCTTAAAGCTCTTTTCTGCTGCTACAACAGCTGATTTGCACAAATAGCGATTTTATGACCCCTTGTATTTAGAACAAGGTAGAAATGACACACAGGGTAGCCACTTTTAATACTGGGCTATGATGATTTGCTTCTTTCTTTTTGGACCATCACCTTCACTAGATTTGAGAAAATACGACCCGTATCTTGACGGGGCGACCTGGTATGGCATCATCTGCAAACCGGTGTCTGCAGCCATGGCGTGGTCCCTTTCTCTTTGCAGGTTCATAAAAAGAAAGAATCTGAGCCCTAAAAGTTATGACAACCATTTGATGGTCTTGAATGGATGGTCGTTCTCTGAACTGGAAAACACTGTTGGGTTCTTCAGTTTTTTCTTGAACACCCAATTATCATATGCAGTTCTCCGTCTAATTTTTAGCTCAAAAATGAGGCAATTGGAGAAATATGGTGATTTCAGGGTGATTGACCATCTCCGGCATGCCAAGGATTTCTATGTTGCTCCAAACGAACAGCCCTTTCTGAGTATGCATGCATCTGTCTCTCTATTTGTTAATACTTGTTAATATTGTGCTCCTGCGTGGTTGTCTTTTCAAGCAAAGCAGCAAAAAAGCATAGAAAAGGAGGGTTATTTTCTTGACTACAGGCTTCCATTAGATTCTCTCTTATAAATAGAATGTTGTACTACACAAAAATGGAGGTTCAGCCCAGTAAGATGAATGATGCCACCAGAGAGAAAAGGGAATTCTTGGAGGGTGGTTGCCTCCTCTGTTTGGCCTATGATTTCTTCATCAATAAAAAACCAACAACCCTCTTCAGAAATACTAGTACATGGTTTCTGACCTCTCTGAGCTTAAGCCAGATATCCTCTAATCTTGGCTATGGCTTGTCAAAAATTGCCTGAAATTGTCCAAACGCCTACTACGGAAAAGTTCCCATCTTTCCAAAGAGGCAGTGATGATATTGCTAATCTGGGCTGATAAATCGGGGTTGAAGACAATCCGACCCGTATCTTGGTAGGGCAAACCGGTTATATTGCAGCCATGGCGTGTTGTCGTCTTCTCTTTGCCCCATTTTACACAGATCTGAGCCTCAACTTCCAACTAGTACATCTGGACTTCCCGGGACTCGAACCAAGATCTGGACTTTTGGGGACTTGAACCCAGCATCTCTTGTTTGGTGAAACCCATTTGGGTTATTCAGTTTTTCTTGAAACCTTGCCGCTATTTCCATCAAACTTCTAGCTAAAAGAATGAGGCAATTGGGGAAAAAAGGGATCGTTTAGGGTGGTTGACCATCTCCGGCATGCCTACAATTTCTAGTTTAATTTAGTTCTAAAAAACAATTGGTGTCGATTATATGTGTGTGTGTGTGTTTTAGTTCTAAAAAACAACTGTTGTTGATTATGTGTGTGTGTGTTTAACCCAACGCCATACATTGAGAACTATTTTGATTATTTTCTCTCTGTTTTCTGTTACTGTTAATCTATGTTCCTCACAGGCTGCAGTCTATTGCAAAGCAACAGCAGAAACATTGAAAAGGAAAATGACGGAGCTGTGATGATTGATTGTTATTGATCATAGGAACCTGGCATTGTAGTTTCAGGCCTGTATCTTGGCGAGGCGGTCCGTATTATAGGGTTTGCAGCCATGGCAGTGTCAAAGAACTCATTGCCTGAGATCAATTACTTATCTAAGCTTCAAGTCTTTTTAAAATGGCTGAATACATCGACGGCCCCTCAAACTTGCCAGAAATTTTCATTTCGACACCTGACTAAGGGGGGTTCTATTGATTACCTGAACTCGAGCCAAACTGTGTTTATTAGACACACGTTGCTGAAGTTGTCCAAACAGGCTATTCTGGAAAAGTTAACATTTTCCAGAAGAGGCAGTGATAATAGTGCTAATCTGGGCTGAGGTATGGAGAATCCAACCCGTATCTTGGCATGGCAAATCCGGATGGTTTGTGATTGGGGCTTCTCTTTCACAAGCAACCGGTTCTTTTGCAGCCATGGTGTTGTCGCTTTCTCTTTGCCCCATTTCAAGCAGATCTGAGCCTCAACTTCCAATTGCTCTTTAGATAGGGTCCTAAAAGTGGCTATTTGTGTACTTCCCCTATTCTGTATCTAGGGCGATCCGGTATGGCATCATTTGCTAGTCAGTGTCTGCAGCCATGGCATGTGTCGCTTTCTCTTCGCGTAGTTCATAGAATACCCATTTGATGGTCTTGACTCTTAAATGGATGGCCGTTCTCTGGAACAGGAACACACCGGTTGGGTTCTTCAGTTTTTCCTTGAACACCCCATACCAGATGCTGTTCTCCATGAAATTTCTAGCTAAACAATATACTATAGTAAGTATTAAAGAAAAAAGGTGTTCCAAAAACATACTCCTTAGTACTTCAAAAATGTTTGCAAAGTTGTTTACAAAAATTTTATGTACCAAAATTCTTATCTTGTGACTCTGAAGACCGCACGTGGTACATCATGTGCAGTCTGACAAGCAACAAGCTCTAACACTAATGCCACTAATTCTCTTACTTGTCTAAATTTATTATTACAATAATTTTTTTTGATAAGGTAAATTGTATTAATCAAAAGGGAGAAAAAAACTCCCGTATACAAGAAGTATACCAAAAAGTAGAGAATTTACATCAGAACATGATTCTCTACAAAAGACGTCCAATCTTCTACACAAGTAGGTGCTATATGGGTGCACCAAAAAGCGATCAAAGATAAAAGGCTATTCTTAAGTTGTGAAAAAGAAGACTCAATCCCCTAAAAAAACTCTCATATTTCTCTCTCCCCAAACTATCCACATGAGAGCTAATGGGGCGAACTTCCACGCCTTTTGCTTGCTTCTTCTGCGGAAATCGGCCCAGCTATATAGCATATCCTTTACACTGCTTGGCATCACCCATTGAACACCAAAAAGATTTAGGATTGCCCTCCACAAACCCGAGGAAACAAGGCAATGCAACAGAAGGTAATCAACTTTTTCCCCTGAGCTTTTACACATGTAGCACCAACTAACAAGTGTAATTCCTCTCTTTCGCAGATTTTCAGCAGTCAAGATCACTCTCCTAGCCGCTAGCCATGCAAAGAAGCACACCTTCGTTGGCGCCTTAGGGATCCAGATCGAGGAGTATGGAAAAGTAGCCTCCTCTCTCACTAACATACTCTGGTAAAAGGACTTTACAGTGAACAAACCATCGCCACGCAACCCCCATCTCCAAGAATCACAAGATAGATGGGGCCTTTCTTGCCTGTATAGCAGTGCCAACAAATCTTGGAGCTCTGCAATCTCCCAATCTTGCATGTTCCTTCTAAANAGACGTCGGGGAAGGAGACCCTCAGAGTATCCTCTCCATACCACCTGTGATTCCAAAAGCTAATTCTCCTTCCATCTCCCACCTTGTAAGTGATGTTGCCATTGAAGGCTTCCCAGTTCTTCATGATGCTCCTCCACATGCCACACCCGAACGGTGTTGTGATTGCCTTGGTCCTCTAACCCCCTCCCGTTGAATCGTACTTTTCTACTATGACCTTCTTCCATAGAGCATGCTCTTCTACCCCGAATCTCCACAACCACTTCCCCAGCAAAGCTCTATTGAATACCCTAAGATCTTTTGCTCCAAGTCCACCCCACTTCTTTGGGGAAGTGACTGTCTGCCAATTCGATAGATGAAACTTTCTAGTTCCATCCGCCGTATCCTAAAGAAAATTCCTTTGAATCCGCTCTAATTTATCTGTGATGCTCACTGGAGCTTGCAACAGGGACAAGTAAAAGGTAGGGATACTCGACAAAGTGCTTTGGATAAGCACTTCCTTACCGCCTTTTGACAAGTACCGTTTCTGCCAGCCTGCTAATATTTTTTCAACCCTTTCAATCACTGGATTCCAAACCGTAGTATCTTTATGCGAAGTGCCCAATGGTAGATCCAGGTAAGTGGTGGGAAGAGAACCCAACTTACATCTGAGGACATGAGACAAAGCATCAATGTTAGCAACCTCACCCACCGGGAAAATCTCGCACTTGCCGATGTTGATTTTGAGTCCTGATACTATCTGAAACCACTGCAGGACTTGCTTCAGGCAGGTCAACTGATCCATATCGGCATCACAGAAAATCAGGGTGTCATCCGCAAAAAGCAAATGAGAGACTCTTCGGGCACTGAGCACCCCGATCGTAGCTGANTCAACTGATCCATATCGGCATCACAGAAAATCAGGGTGTCATCCGCAAAAAGCAAATGAGAGACTCTTCGGGCACTGAGCACCCCGATCGGAGCTGAGAATCCTCTCAAGAAGCCTCCGCCCGCAGCACGATCCATCATTTTACTCAGAGCATCCACTAGAAAGAATAGCATGGGGGATAGGGGGTCACCTTGCCTGAGGCCCCTGGAGCTGCCAAAGAAACCACACTGGCTACCATTAACCAGGACAAAGAATCTGACTGAGGAAATGCAAAACTTGATCCATCCCTTCTATCTTTCCTCATACCCCATCCGTATCATAATGAAATCCAGGAACTCCCAATTGACATGGTCGAAAGCCTTCTCAAGGTCCAACTTGCACAGTAAGCCGGGTTCCCTATTTTTCCTTCTGGAGTCTACTAGTTCGTTTGCCACCAACGCAGCATCCAGGATCTGTCTACCTTCCACAAACGCATTCTGGGAGGACGAAACAGACACGTCAAGAACCTTCCTGAGTCTGTTGGAGAGCACTTTAGAAATAATTTTGTAAATGTTCCCCACGAGACTGATAGGCCTGTTGTCTCTCATACAAGATGCACCTTCTTTCTTAGGCACAATAGTAATAAAAGAAGCATTGATATTTCTCTCGAAAACACCATTCACGTGGAAGTATTCAATGACTTCCATCAACTCCCCCTTAATGGTGTCCCAACAGAGCTGGAAGAAAGCCAAGGAGAAACCATCAGGCCCGGGGGCCTTATCACCAGCACAACTCGACACAGCCTCGTGCACCTCCT